TGTATATAAGCACCTCCTTCAGATAATAGTGTTGCTTTTTCTCGACAAAGCGTTCATTAACAGTTTTCTCTGTAGTATGACTGTTGGAGATACATGAAAATTCTTCATGTTATCTATTTGATTTTTGTACAAAAAAAATCTTTTCATTTATATTCAGCAGGAATTCCCAGATTAATGTATTTGGCATGGAGGCAAATCAGGTCTCTCCTATCTGACCTCTGATATCTTAAATTGCTGAAGAATTGGTGGGGAGTTGCTCTCGTTTGAGGGTGTCTGTGACCTTATCCATAGTGAGATGGAGACACACAATCGGTCTGGTGATGTTTCTTTGGGGGCCTCTGAGGCTGCACTTGTGGGTGATCCTGGCCATTTTGGATAGAATTTAGATTTGCTTTTTCCAGTGCCTTTCTTTCCTCATGAGGCTAATTTGGCCTTTTCTTCAGTTGATAAATCGAGTGTGTGATGTTTTGGGTCTTTTCTCAGTTGCTTTTGAGTCTGAGTCTTCCTTGGTGGTGGAAAGGTCTGAGGGCAATACTTAGTTCTCCTTCCATCCCCTGATATTGCAGTTCATACAGATGGGTTTACTGTTCCGTTACATGAAAAGATAGTTATTCCTTGTCCACCGCGTTTGTCAGAACATGCTTTAGCCTACCACTGCCAGGCAGAAGCATATTTAAACTCTCAGAGAATAGACCCGCTCCTGGAAATGTGAGGTTCCAGAATGGAGTCTCTGGTCAACCTGAATACATCACAATTTTCTAGGATCCACTTGACCTTTATTTCTCACCTCTATGACCAATCAGATCCCAATCATTTGTTATGCCCAGTGAAGGTCTTGAAGTGTAACACTGCCAGCACTAAAGCTTTTATAGGTGCTAGAAAACGGTTTTTTAATCATTGTGACCCTTCAGTTTCCTGGGATTTATCCCTGGTTACCTTGATAGGGTGTGTATGAATATTGATTCATATTACTTATTCTTGGCTCTCTTTGGAGGCGAGTCACATTTCCATGTTCTTAGTGGCATGATTGAATTGACTGCTGGAGGACATTTTGCAGGCTGGTATGTGAACTTCCCCCAATACTTTTATTTCACATTATTTGTATGATCTGGCAGTATCTTCTTCTGAGGTTTTTTTGACTACCTCCTGTAGCTATATTAATCACATCTGCTAGATTATAAAGAGGGGAATTTTCATTATTAATCTCATCTCTTCTTTCTTTTCCAGGACCCCTTACCTCTTTTTCACAGGATTCCACTTTGTGGTGAGTGTTGCCCAGTCAGCTGTGCTTTTATCAAACCAAATCTGCACTAGTAACCACAAGCACAATATACTTTATCTAGGTTGCAACAAGCTCTGTAGAAATGAGGTGTTCCATAAGACCACCTAGAGGGAGACTGCCAGTTTCCAGACACTGGGGTGGTGGACAGAGGTTATTCCTCCAGAGTGTTTAAGTGACTTTCCTCCACTTTTGGAGAAGAGGGTGAAGTTGGGGGCCTTCCTATCCAGGACCTTGGATATTTTTTCCCCAGGTGTCGGTATGAGTGGCACCATCCTCTGCAGGAGCCTACTCATAATACAGGGTCAGATTTAACACTTAGCTATCTGGTTGGGTTGAGCATGGCCCTTTTTTTGATCAATATTGGTTCAATACATTGTTCATGGAAGAGGGTCTGTTGTCTCCTTGTAATTCCAAATGCAGAGTGGTCCTCCCCTTAATTCTGGGGGCAAGTGAAATTTACCTTGCCCACATGGTTGGGGAGTGAGAATGAGTGTTCATAATTCCAGAACAGATGAGTTATTTTTCCTCAGGTTGTGTACAGCATACAGTATCCCATCATTCTTCAGGTTGAGGAGAGGGTTTGTCCACTTCAGTGTTGCTTACCTTCTCGTCTTGTTTCTAGGGGTTCAGAATGCATCACTTTATAGCTACAGGTTGGGATCCACTCATCAATGTGTATGTATATATTGTGGTCCAAAAGCTCTAGCCACCAATGGTGGATTTAGGGGCCATGGCCCTATAATTCCACATTTGAACAGTGGGACCTTGGATACCTGGTTGGGGCCTGGCCAATGGTAATGACGGATCACATCAAATTCTATCTGCAGTTTATGATTTAGGTTCCAGGTGAAGAGCATACCTGTTCTGGATGTAGTGTGGTTCCCCCACTAGGGTGCTAATCTTCTATTTCTTTTGGCACACTCATGATCTATGCAAACGTATTCTGTATGGATAATGCCCTTACTAGTCCCTCTACCTTATCAATGTGGGATTCTAGCTGTAGTGTGAGAAGAGGTAAGTATGTTTTGGTAGTTAGCCATTTCTTAAATCGAAAATGTATTTACAATAATACTTACCTCTTCTTACACTCTCCTGCCCTTCCTCCCCATTAAGAGCCAGTGTTAGAGACTGTAAATTGGGTCAGTCTTGAAAAAGTGACAATATTATCTGAAGGAGGTGCTTATATACAGTACCACAATAGAGGGCACATTGATGTAGGTGGAGAGTGTCACGAAATAGATATCAACAAGAGCAATTGAGTGGGGAATATAAGACTGGAGCAAGCAACAAAAACTCAGACCATTGTTTAGATGGGCAAAGCCTAACAGTTGAGTAATAACTGTAGTGTGAGAAGAGGTAAGTATTATTGGAAATACATTTTCGATTTAAGAAAATGCTAACATTCATAGCTAAACTAATAATAGAAGGAATAATAAATAAACAAAACTATAACAAAATAAAAATAGAATTTGCTATTTACACCACTATTTTCAGAAATAAAAAAAGAATTCTGTGAAAGATTAATCTGTATCAATTTGGATAATGCACTTATATTTTGATAGTATCTGTCTTTACCTAATGACTTTTTAATTTTGTGTAACATTCTATTGTGTAGTTGTAAATATTTTTAACAGTATTCATTTTCCAAGAATGGTTGCTTCTTTTGTTTAGTTGTACATGTTCTTATATCCCTGTTAGCTTATTTGTGATTTAGGTCTGTCATTGTAATTAATTGTGTTCTCAATTTCATAATAATAAAGCACAAAATCCAGATTCATCTTTCAGTTGTGAATAACATTTATTGATTAAAATTATGATTAATGACATAACAATTCAGATAATTTATCAGAGTTTCCAGCACTTTTCATGCTTCACATTAATAGGCCAGATTTTCATAAAATGTATAAACATGAATAGCAGATGATGACTTCCATTGACAATGTAACAATAATGTGATACGTTGCCCAAACAAATTGTAGCATTTCTTGTATTCCATTATTATTATGTTCTATATAACACCTAATTTGGATAAAGCAGGATGTGAGAATTTTCGTATATCTGTAGTTGTTCATGACTATGGGAATTAAATAGCAGTCTTTTAGTATTTATTATTGAACTATGTAGAATTAGGCTATGAAATGTGAAAGACACAAAATAAAACAATAACGTAGAATAGTTGTACACAAGAAGAGGTGCAACCCAACTTAACAAGCACATGTGCTATCAAACTAAAAATAATACTTAACAGGAATAGGTGTTACCCAACTAGAATAATACTTAAGAACAATAATTGTTACCAACTAAAATAATAATTAACAAGAATAGGTAATAACCAACTAAAATGATACTTAACATTAAACTTGAATTTTTCAAAATACTATGCTAATTATTCAGGTTGTTTTGTAACAGAAAATACAATATTTTCATTAGATGTTTTGTAAAGAAAAGCCATCATTATTATATTTATCTGTTTCTTGTGTATGATTTCTTGACTTAAGTATGTCACTCACTTTTTCTGAAAATTGATCAAGCATACACATTAGGGTGATTTTAAATGCTACCTGTTTGATTTTACACTAGTGTGAATAAACCAGATTGGTGAACATACAGGAACAATTTGACCTTTAGTGTGTACATATGCGCTATTAAATGTGATATACAGTATCCAATAATTTTATTTCCAGCCTTTTTTTAGCCCCTAGTTGCTTACTGGTATGTCTGCAGGCTTACAGTGCTAAAAATACAGTTTTGATACTTGTTTTAGGCATAGCACTGATAGCCCATTGTGTAGCTTTGCGCTTAACAACAACCAAACCAAGTTCAATTTATTTAGGCCCCCAGTGGCACAGTGGTATGTCTGTGGACTTACAACACTAGAAACCGAGTTTCGATACCCGTGGTGGGCAGAGCACAGATAGCCCTTTGTGTAGCTTTGTGCTTAACTTCAAAAACAAATCAATTTATTTATCTCAAAAATGCCTAATAGTTTTTGACTGGTCTTGTCATGATGTCATTAGTATGTAGCTGAAGCAGTGAAAACATTATATTTAAAATTTATGCTTGGTTGTTGTTGTTTGTAGTTAAGCACAAAGCCACACAATGAACTATCTGTTCTCTGCTCACCACAGGTATTGAAATCTAGTTTCTAGCATTTATGTCTGCAGACATACCGCTGTGCCACTGGGTGGCATTTATGATTGAAAAAGAACACCTGCATGCACAGATATGCATAGATTTATATATATATAGTACATTATTGCTATTCATCTCTGAAGTATGACAAGAAGTATAAGACAGATTATGATCAAGTTGATTAACTAACTGAACTATAAGTACAAGAAGTCAAGGTCATGTCCCATTGCTGCAGAAGTATCATCTGCACTGTATAGCCATAGATGCGCTACATGAGTGACAGTCAAATCCCATTAATTGATCAGACAAGAGCATTCCAAGAGTTGGTAGTAAGTGCTGTTTACTAGCAACTGTGTTTTCTCTTAATCTATTGGTTCAAACTTAGGGACAAATATAAGCAAATGATACTTATGTAGATATGCACAAAACATTTTGAACAAACAAATATAATACTGAAACTTATTGGTGAGGTAATATCTCTTCCTGTGATGTAAACATTATTATTTAGTTCCTGCTTATGTTTATCATATAACACTGCACTTTTTACTTTATTATTTCTTACTTATAATGTTAATATTTATTTTAGTACCTGGTGGACCACCAACATTAGTCAAAGCCAAAGCACTTAATGCATCATCTGTTAAAGTATCCTGGGAGGTAGGTCACTACTTGTCACAATATTCATTCATCACTGGACATTTTTTTTATAACTGGTCTTTTTTTTTCTAAATCTTTTGTTAAATAACAAGCGGAATCCTGACATGAAGGACAGTAAAAAAACTAAAATAAAATAATTAATAATGGTTTGCATAAGTGCCTTTATATTGATGTAGGTACAGAAAACATCTATGTTTTAACAGGTGTTTCACAGTCACAATGTTACAACCTTGAAACTACCAATATTAAAGAACATCATTTTTGGTTTTTGAGTCATTAGACTTAGAATTTCAGGCTAGTATAAGAGACATTCAAAACTGAATTATTATTATAATAAAGAATTTTAAAATAAGATTTTGAGTATATGCCGTCATGATGCTAATTTTACATGCAGATTGAGAGTTGTCTTTATCTCCATAGCATAGCCCCCCTCCCCCTATGAAGGGGGGTAAGATATACCCTTACAGTCACCCAGGCATGAGAAGGAGCTAGGAGTAGGTTTTCATGGTTGCTGAATCCTGAATCAGGTTTGTGTTTCTGATCACCTTGGGATCCTGGGAGTGCCATGTTTGAAACAGTGTTTATACTCCCACTAACAAGATAGTGGGACCAAATGGCTACATACTTGCATATCACAAGCAGGTGTCCTAATGGGGTTTGTTTTGATATACAGACCTTCGTTTGGGGTAGCTATTTAAGTAATTGGGGATAATGGAGCTAGGAATTCAATCTGTACATTGGAGTCTGTAAATCATGAGGGCTTTTGAACCATGCATTTATAAAGTATAAACTGTTTAGTGAAAATAGATTTATAGTTTCCAAGATATCCAAAAGTTTCCAGTTGTAGTTCATATTTATATATTCTGTTTCAGTATGAACAGGCATGCATATTAACAGTATTTTAAGTTGGATAGTTAGTTTTCATGAACTGCTCTTATCTTCTGACTGGTTTAGAAATGTTTGAGGCTCTGTGCTGAGTCCTCCATCAGGCTGCAAGGGTTCTGTATAGAACAATACATTGTGGTCTTAAGAGAGAATGCACTAAAGAATGGTTACTCCTGATTGATTGTGTGGAAGATGCATTTTTCAAGAAAAGAAGATGTTTAAAAACCAGACAGATGGCAGGAGCAGTCATTAGGAAACTTTAAAAGTTAACATAATGCCTAAAATTGTACTTAAAAGAAGATATAAGTACTCCAAGACTTCATAATTCTTAAGGCTTATGAAGGAATTTTCAATAAGGTACAGTAAAACCATATTTCATAAATATTGTTAATTTAACCTTAAAAATTTTAAAATTTGTATATTTTTCATTCTGCTGCATCTAGCCTCCTCCTAAGAATGTTCAGAATGGTAAAATTAAGGGATACTACATTGGATACAAAGTGCATAATTCCACAGAATTGTACCACTACAAAAACCTTGAGGTTCACTCAGAAGGTACAACAGATTGTATATTGTCTAAACTACAGAAGTTTACAAGATACAGTGTTCTTGTTCAAGCATACAATTCTATGGGGGCAGGCCCTCGATCAGATGAAGTTTCAGTATTAACTGAAGAAGATGGTAATTTTTTTTCTTGATAATTAGAATTTGAGATTAGTGTTCATGTGCTAAATTGATTATTTATTTCATTTGTTGTAACATATAACAATAGTATCAGGTGAACTCAAACAAGATGCTAAGATGAATTAAGAATTCCCGATACTGATACGTCTTTTTTATTGATTCGTTCCAAATGAATTTCATATATATAAAAAAGGCCAATATTAATAATGTATGGTGTGTAAGTAACTGGTTGTGATAGTGACTTATTTAAATTATTGTCATAGTGCATTACTTTTTCTTCCACTCTAGTTACTGTTCCTATAATATACAAACCTTGTAAATCAATTTCATATATATAAAAAAGGCCAATATTAATAATGTATGGTGTGTAAGTAACTGGTTGTGATAGTGACTTATTTAAATTATTGTCATAGTGCACTACTTTTTCTTCCACTCTAGTTACTGTTCCTATAATATACAAACCTTGTAAACATTTTATTAACAATGCATGCACATATTTCCTTTCTAAGCATTCTAACCTAATTTGTAGTCCTGAACTTTCTGATGATTAACCCTTTTATCTCTCTTTTTTTAGTTTTATAGTTTTATGTATTAATCCTTATAGTAGAAGATTTAAAATGCTAAGTATACACTTTTGAACTGGCATACAATTTTGTTGATACTTTAGTAAAAGAAAATTGTTTTCCTCAAGTTCATATTTTCATTCACAGCTGTATTGCCAGATTTTAAAGGTATTTTTACACTCTGGATGGGTAAAGTTTTCTACAAATTTGTAAATAAAATCCTATTTACTCTACTGAAGTGTGTTTTTTGGACAGGAAACAAGTGTTATATTTTTTGAACTAATGAATATCTTAGGTGAAGAAGCTACATACATTATTAAGATTTTATAACCCAGTGATTTTTAATTGTTAAATGAATTATGATGAGTAATGACTAATAAAATTGGTGTAAATAACAGCTCAAGAACTTAATCTATTTCACATTAAAACAGTTGTTGTTCAAATAATCAATGTTATAAATAACATTTCAACCACTACTGCGTCTGTTGTATCTCGGCCAGACTGATGAGCCCTATATCGGGCAAAAGGTCTTGTTAACCCTGGATATAGCAGATATGGTGTAATTGACATATTATTACATTCTTCTTCACTTTCACTTACAAGTTCTTATAAGTTATGATATATTGTTTCAAATGAATATTTATATATCTCATATGGATCTAAATACTTCTAGTTCCAGACCAACCTCCACATAGTGTTACATGTTCTACATTGTCTTCTCAGACTTTACATGTAGAATGGAGAACTCCCCCTGTAAAATCAATTAATGGAGTTTTAGTTGGATTCCGTGTCATTTACAGGCCGATCATTAAATGGGCAGGTAATTAATGCTAAGAAAGCACTGTAACACACAAATTGTCATTCACAAGTATAAGTAATATTATTATTACTAATATTACTATATAGGTGGGGCAAAAGTTACTAAAAAAATATTACAGAGACGATTGAAACCAATCTAATTATTTTATCTTTTAGAAATTCCATGTTGCATGTGGAAAAACTATATAGCCACTTTTGCCCCACCTTGTATATATGTATGTGATTGACATATTAAAGTGTGTATTTCATTTCTATACAAATCATAGTCAGGATGTAACATATCATAACAGTAGTATTTGTAATTGCTTAACCTAAATATACTTTTATAAATTACAACATTCTTAGAATATTGTGGGCTGAATTGGCCAGCTCTTAATTAGGATTGGTGTATAGTTGGTCAAATCACTTTTGTTTATATATTTGAGTATATGTATTTTAACTGCATCATGAAATACTAAATAAATTTTGGAAACAACAGATCTGCATTTATTTAAGATGAAATTAAACTTTTGAGGGTGTACTTAAAATAAGTATTGACTGTTGATGTAATAGCTGGAGTGATACAATAAGACTAATAATGTACATATAGTATACATTCCACTAGTATTATGAAGCCTAGTCTTTTTCTTTAAACTTGCCCTTGCCTGAGGTTACTGATGAGGGGTATAATCTTCTGAAACCAATATATCTTTGTGACAAGTGGTAAATTGTATGAGAGATTTGGCTTCTCATTTATTTTTTAAGATTGGTGATTCTAATTATGCCTTTCTTTATTGGCCATATTGTATTCTAGTATTTTATCTTCATACATTGTGTCATGCCACTGCAAACAAAACTTTCACCTCAATATTATGTTATGACTTGAAAGAGAGGGTTCAATAGCAATAGTGTGCAACACACACACATTGTGAAATCAAAATGCTGTTATATCCTCTTCTCACTGAAAGTCCATGTAAGATCAGTAACGAAGGAAAAGATAAGATATTATGAGATTTACATATATATTGAAAGAAGATGGGGCCCATTTACCTGAGTATGTGCTATTCCAGTACTGAATAATATATATGCACTCTTAATGTTGGTGTAATAGCTTTACATGCATTTTAATGGAATTATACATAAATTGGCTAAATATGTTAATAATTTTATTAGATACTTCTTTTTGTTTAATGTACATATTGAAATAAGATGAACCAATGTTGTAAGACAACTAAAATTGTTCAACATCATATGCACTGAATTTATTGTTTCACATAAAATAATGTAGCATCCAAATTTTTCACTTAGTTTCAGGTCATGTTCTAAAAAAGGCACGTTTAATATGTAATATGTTTAATATCAGTGTGTGTATGTTTGCTGTAGGTACTTTACGTAATTGTAATACAGAAATTATAATACAAAACTGTGTTACTTTTATTCTACACTAATGCAAATTGCATTTTGTTAAGCTATGTAGAATAATTATTTTGGGCTGTTTATGTTCTATTTGTGTGTTATTTAGTAGAACATGCTTAAAACTATTTAGCAAATTCATATGTGGTTCTTATTTTAATTGTTTATGTGATTGACATATGAAATATTTTTTCAGAGAATTTAGAAAGTCACAAAGTTGAAATTGAAGATTTATTCATAAATCTTGTTGGATTGGAAATGTTTACAAATTATAGCATTCAAGTGGCAGCATACACTAGAATTGGAAATGGTGTTTTTAGTGGTCCTGTGTATTGTAGAACACATGAAGGAGGTATGTTTTAACCAGTTTATTTTACCTGTGTTTTCAAGGTTCAAGAACCAAAGATCTAGCTGAGTTGATTTAGAATTAGATCTAGAAAAAAGCACTAGTTCTTTTTTAAGATATTTATTTTATTGAATTTTTCTATTTAATTTGCACCTACACTTGCAAATAGAATTTTTCAAAGTGTACATTTTGTTTTTGACTAGTCCATAGTTTATTATCATGAATAGTTTACTTAGTTGAAGAATAAGTTTACTTAGTTTACTTACTTGAAGTTTACTTAGTCCTTATTGAATAATAAACATATTGTTACGTCTCCGTTTGTTAGTTGACTTTCCGTAACTTCGGTCCGACGAAACTTTAGCGACACAAGTCCTTACTTAATAAAACTGGTTTAT